TAGACTCCTGCACCACTGTCCATATACACGTTTGGAGAAAGCAACGTCCAGGGGGTGAGTAGTGTGCCTTCCACCGTAGAGTGTGTTTGCTCGCCAAATTAGAAAACGATCGACGGTAGACTCAACGGAATACTCTCCTCGCCTGTTGGCCAAACTCCGAGGGAGATAGAAATAGGAGTTATACAGAATGAATCGTGAGCAAAGGGAATCTCCCTCGGGCAAAGTCGGTGGGAGCAGGGATGATGATGGCTGTGTGGTTTTCGTGTGTTTCGAGAGGGGCAAGGAGGGATATACCCCCCAGAAGTTGTATATAGGTGTATATAACTGGCGTTGAGAGGTGGATGAGAGGGAGAGAGGGAGAATGAATACGAAGGTCGGGCAAAATAGCAGAAGGGGGGGGGGGTGGTAACGATGCCGACGTAGAACGCTCTCGCGGTTTAATTCGACTCTGTACCTACGATCCTCGACGGTCCAGTTTCCATGGAACGCCCGTACATTTATATATCTGTATATAGCCGGTATAACCAACCACCCTGATACCCACTGTGCCGGTATATATATTTTATATACAACGGAGTAGTGAGGAAAAAGAAGAAAGGGAGTGGGAGAAAAAAATTTCAAACGCTGCGGAAAAGCGACGAGGTGGCAACGAACGATGGAGTTCCCGTTGGTTTTTTTTTGTACGAGGCAAGAGTGGAAAGAGCCTGGAGAGAGGTGCGGCCAAGCTCATATCGTATTAATAGGCAATCCGGGCAACCGAGGGGTGTCATAAACGCAAACCCCTAATACTCGCCTAAACTACCTTGGTTAAATAATGGAATCCCTATTTTCCCCTCCCTCAATTTTACCATCCACGAACACTCGCTGGTGAGTTCGTATACTCTTTGCCTCGCGGTTCTATCGCCTCTCTCACTCAGCTTGTCACCCACTTTGGCCTCCCAATCTCTGTCCAATCGTGAAACTCACACCAATCTTCTTGCACTCGCTCGCTTGCGCGTCATGTTCTTGGGGGTGAGGTTACCAACCCCCTGGATATGCCGACTCGAATATCAGCGGGTTGAGAGGTTGTGGGGGGAGGGGGATGCTGATGATGCTGATGACGGTGGAGATGATCGAGAGCGGTTTGGGGGCGCGCGGAGGGTTGGAAAGTTTTTTTTATTATTCAGGAGGCAATTTGGTTAGTTAATTCGGTGTCATTTGAGGTGAATATTTGGAGGTGTAAATTTGAGGTGGGGAGATTGAGCGGTTCTGGATGTTTAGACCTTCACGAAGAAGAATGTTGCGGAAAATGTATTATGAAAATCACGTAAAATTACAGTGTTTGACGTGCCTCATCATCTTTCCTATACGGTAGATGAAATTTTTTAAAAACCATCTTCCTCTCAAATCCAATTGAAAACTACTCAGGAAACTCAATTTTTGCGACGAATTGAGTCATCTTTTTTCCCGCTTCATCCACTTCAATGAATTACATGCAAAGTAAATAAGATAAAAATGAAACCTCTGCAATGCAAACATGTTCAGGCGACATTGTGGGGGCGAATGATGAAATCCATGAACTATATCCCCGGTTGGTGGGCGGTTTATTTCATCTACTGCGCTCTACCAATTGTCATTTACCATTCGTACCTCTTCAGAAGATCACGCGAGGTACAGAGATTCAAAATGAAAATTCAGAGTAATTTGTGAAAGCTTTGTGCCAGTAGAGCTACTGCGTATACCAAATTTAATCCACTGCAATTCGATTTCATTCCATTTTGGCCATCAAATTTATAAATTTTTATCAAGTGATATTTTTCGTTATAAATAATCCCATCAAAGAATCGGCCAAAGTACATGAATAACCTTAAGTACCTGTAGAGTAATATCCACCTAATAACTCACCCCCCTCTTTCCTCAATTAGTCAAGCGTATGGTGTCGAGTTGCTAATTTCACCAGCGAAAACCCATGGATTTGGGCAGTGTACATAGTATATTCTAAAGAAAATCTCCATGAAACAAAAAATCAGTAGGAGCAGGACCAACGTCCTTGGCGCGGATCAAAGTATGGAGGATTAGATTGATACAGACAGTGAGTTGAAAAACTCCGCGCCAAGAACGTCGGTCCTGCTCCTACTGATTTTTTATTTCATGGAGAATTTTTTTTAGAATACTTATTCCATTGAGAACGATTTTTCTTATAGAAACCTGATTGTGCACGATCACCATTTATTCAAAATTCCTGACTTGGCTTCCTTTTTTATTTCTATGTATTTTTCAAAAACTTCGACTTCCCAGTAGGAATCAAACAAAACTT